AAATTCTCTTTTTTCTTTCAAAGATGATGTCTCTGTTGTCCAGGCTGGAGTGCAGTTGATTTTAGCTCATTGCAGCCTGGAACTCCTGGGTTCAAGCGATCCTCCCACCTCAGCCTCCTGAGTAGCTGGAACTACAGGTGAGTGCCACCACACCTGTCTACTTAAACTTTTTTTGTAGAGATGGGGTCTCGTTGTGTTGCCCAGGCGGGTCTTGAACTCCTGGTCTCAAGCAGTCCTCCCACCTTGGTCTTCCAAAGTGTTGGGATTACAGGCATGAGCCACTGCACCAGGACAACCAAATTCATATTTGTAAGATGGCTTTTAAAGCCCTGTGATGTCATTCCAGCCCATCTCTCCAGAAACTCACCTCTGGTTCCCTCTGCTATAAACGGCCTTTCCCCCACCTTCCTTAATACCTCTCATCCTTCAGTTCTTGGTGTAGATATTCGTCTTCAGGGATGTCTTCCCTACTTCAGCTCCCTCGTATTCCCTCCTTGAACTCTCTATACCCTTCCTGTGACACTCATCCAAAATGTAATTGGCACAATTACTTGTGAGACACTAAGTGCCATGAGGGCAGGTATGTGTCTTATTTTTCACTGTATTCCTAGTGCCTAATAACAGACCTTCCAGTTTATTGAATGGATGGCACATAGTAGGGCTCAGTAAATGGATCCCCCCATTTTCTGCTTTCTCATTTCCTTTGAGAATCAAGCCTTCCTTTGGGATTAGGCCACGCTATCAAGTGAGACAGGTCTTGCTTTCTGTCTCACCTAAGAAGACCCACTTGAGGTAGACTGCATTCCAGTCTAGAGCAAAAGAAAGGAAAAAAGCTGAAAAGGCCACCCCAGAACTGCGCTAGAGAGAAGCTCTGGAGATCTAGAGATGCGCTAGAGAGTAAGTTCGTAGAATTTGCTAAATCAAATGACAGATGCCTTTGTTAGGCAGGTGTGTACTGTTCAGGGTGAAATAAAGCCATCCAAATTCCTTTTCAGCCATTCCCTTCACAAAGCACAGCCCAAATGGCTTTGCACACTCATGTCTGTGTTTTGTCAGGTAAAGGTTCCTGGTTCACCTCTTGCCAGCATCCATCTGTTCATCCAGTCAAGGCTGCCCCACCCTGACACACAAAGGAGGGACTAGCTGAAGAATCAACCATATGGTCAGCAATGACTAAAACTACCCATTCCAGCAGGCTTGACTAAGAAAGCTAATATTTGAAAAGCTGTGGTTTGAGGAACTAGGTGAGTTATAGGAAATTCTAATTTGTTTTACATCTTGTAGATGGTACTTCAGTTAAAGTTATAAACCACAGACACACATGGCTTATGCAGGACCATTTTTTCTGTTCCTGATCTGTCCCTCTTCATTGTGTGAAGCTGGACGGTTCATGTGTTTACTTCACAGCTCCTAAAGATGAAGATGCTGTGTATTTAAATATATAAATGTTTAATTAAAAAATGATTAGCTTTTAACCTTGTAACATACTCAGGCTTGGAGTAGAAAGGTACTGCAGTACAGTATTAGGAGCCCAGTGACAAAGAATTCCCAGGATAATGACTGGATGTTATTTCCATGAAGAGGCTTGCTGCTGGCCTGTACTGCCAGCTTAAGCAAACTGGGAAAAGATGTGTCCTCTGAGATGCAACCCTATCTTTGGCAGGCTGAGCACAGGCTAGATTTCAGCCCCTCATTCACCCTCCTTCCTCTTTCAACTGGGTGCCTTTGTGTAGTACATGAACTCTCTAATTACACATGGTAGCCCTGCCTTTATATGAATGTATAGATTTAAAAAATATAAATCAGGGATGAAACACTACCAGTAGTCTTATTCAAAACTATATCATTTAATTTAATATTTTCACCTATGAGAGGTAATGAATGCAGAAATATAGTCTCCATTTTAGTAGACTGGAAAAAATACATTATCCTACTATTTTCTAGAAAAATGATTGTGGCATTAGAAAATCAAATGGAAAAAGTGAATAAGCAGACTGAGATTACCTGAAAATAAGTTAGTTGCTAATAAGATTCAGTATAATGTATGTTTATTAAATAATCGCTACTAGAACAAACATCTGCGACAACTATGAAGTTAGGAAATGCTGTATTAGCTTGAACAGTTTATCTGTTGGTCACATTGATAAGTGACTCAAATATTAAAAGAATGGAAATACATGACGGTGAACAATGCCACATGAGTACATTGAGCAAAAATAGATAATGGCCTCTATATCTTAGAACAGACTCACTTATTCATTGGCATGAATAATTTAGCTCTAAAAAGAAAAATCCAAAAGAAGCCAAGACTAACTGTGGAAAGGACTTTGAACTTTTCCTTTTAGACAGTTAAAAAAAAAAAAAAGAAAGAAAAAAGTGTACATGACTACCACAGCTTGACAACTACCATGTGGCACATTTTATATGACATGAGAAAAAATGGTTAAAAGATCTCAACTTTTTGGAAGTCAACTCAAAAGCTGAGGGCAACTAGTATTTTTGGATTTTATAGTATAGAATGGAATTCCCTTTATATTGAAAAGTAAATCATGGACCTTGCACATAGTAATTTTTCTCAAAGGTTTAGGCACTTTGCAACAGGCTATTGCCAATCTAGAAAAACTGATGTGAAAAAATAATTCGGTTGTGTAAATATTAAATACAAATCATGTGATTACATTCAACAAAGACATGAGATGTCTTAAATGGATAACATATTTTCATTCTGACAAATGCACACTAGAATAACCTTGCAGAGAAGTGCAGTTGGGCAGTACCACTGTACTGTACCACTGTACCACTTGCTGACGGTCTAGAGCAGGGGAGGCAAACTCCCCAGTCAGAGAGTAAACATTTTAGGCTTTGCAGGTTACATACAGTTTCTGTTGCATATTCTTCTTCTTTCTCTGTTTAAACATTTTTAAAACATAAAAACCAGTTGGGTGTGGTGGCTCACGCCTGTAATCCCAGGACTTTGGGAGGCCCAGGTGGGTGGATCACTTGAAGTCAGGAGTTCAAGACCAACCTGGCCAACCCAGCGCTACTAAAAATATAAAAATCAGCCAGGCATGGTGGCATGTGTCTGTAGTCCCAGCTACTTGGGAGGCTGAGGCAGGAGAATCGCTTGAACCTTGGGAGGCGGAGGTTGCAGTGAGGTGAGATCCTGACATTGCACTCCAGCCTGGGTGACAGAGAGTGACTCTGTCTCAAAAAAAAAAAAAAAAAAAAAATATATATATATATATATAGATAGATAGATAGATAGATAGATAAATAATATATAAAAAATATATAAAATAAAATGAAAAAACCATTCTTACCTTGCAGGCCATACACCTGCAGCCTGGATTTGGCCCATGGGTTGTAGTTTACCAACCCCTAATCTAGACCCCTTTGATATTATGACACATTTTTATCATTTTCTTTTAGGCACAGATGATCTCTGAATGAATGCTTATAGGGAACCATATGTATATGCTTAAAGATTTCTCTAATAAATATGGCTGCTGCAACTTTAGTTAATTCTGCAAACTCAATTTAAAAGTGATGACCTACAGATCTGGCATTGCCAGATGTTTCAGAAGCTTTATGACAATTTTGTGAATATTTAAGATACCAATGACTAAATTCAGTTCAAGTATCAACACTACATTGTAAAAGCAATGAAGCGGTCTTGTAAGGGTTGAAAAGGAGCTGAATGCAGAGCACAGTGACATGTGGCTGGTGCTATACTGACTGATGGCTGCTGAGCTAGAGTGGGGGAATTTTAGGTCACTTGCAGCCTGTAACTGAATTTCTTGATTTGGATTTTAGGGTTTTCTATTTTAAAAAAAATTCTTGTGACCAGTCTTCTACACTAGCCGCCTTTGAAATCAGGTAGTAATTAGCTGAATTTAATGATAAAATGAAGACCTTGAGAAATAATATTTGTTATTTAAAGTACATGAAAATGGGTGGTCAGTACTGCTTAGCTTTCCTCCAAAATGGCTGAATGTGTATCACAGCAACAGAAATGCTGTAGCTAACAAACGACTTAAGTTCTTGAGTGATCTGTCTTCTCCTTAGCTGCTCTGCTGGCCTATCAGAGAAGACTGTGCCTTGGGGAAACTTGTTGTCCCTTACAGTTTCCACTTTTCTTTCAGCAATGTCAAGGTTTCATACTCAAGGCAAAAGTTTACAGTCCAAAGTCAGAGATTTACCTTCAGTTTGAATTTCAAGTGTAGAAGTGTTCATATCTGGGTATATGAAGCTGACTGAGCTGATAATTTTGGAGAAATGGTGAAGTTCAGTGGAATGCTCCCAAGGACTTCAACACTACCAGTGGCTTCTCCATGTAGCAATTACATAGTTAGATATTTTAACAAGTATTTCCTTATTTATTATTATTATTATTTTTTGAGACAGGGTCTCACGCTGTTGCCCAGGCTGGCTGGAGTGCAACAGTTAAAGGACAGTGTTGAAAATTTCCAGTCAGCTGGGTCAAGATGACATGATGCCTTTTTTTTTTTCTTTCCATTTTGCAGCTCCTTCCATAAAGGGGTCATAACTACGTTAAATCAAATTTTAGTCTTTTTTTTTTGAGATGGAGTCTTGCTCTTTGCCTAGGCTAGAGTTCAGTGGTGTGATCTCGGCTCACTGCAAGCTCCACTTCCCGGGTTCACGCCATTCTCCTGCCTCAGCCTTCCAAGTAGCTGGGACTACAGGCGCCTGCCACCAGGCCCTGCTAATTTTTTGCAGTTTTAGTAGAGACAGGTTTTCACCATGTTAGCCAGGATGGTCTTGATCTCCTGACCTCGTGATCCGCCCACCTCGGCCTCCCAAAGTGCTGGGATTACAGGCATGAGCCACTATGCCTGGCCCATTATTTTTAAATAGTTAGAACCTAGTGAATAAGCTATAATTGTAGACACTGAAAAACAAGACAAAGTGATCAGACTAATTATAGCACTGATAGGATGCAAAATGGAAGACAGGTAGATCTGCAAACAGCCACACAGGTGGAAATTCCAATTATATATAGGTTCTCTTTGAAATGTCAGTTTTACATAAATACTTATCCAGCAGCACAGCATAAACCACAGGGCCAAAGCAATTTCTTATCACGTAAACATGGAGTTCGTAGCCAAAACTCAAATTTAGCAACAAATAATTGTTTTCATAGGACTCATAAGATAACTTTAAATTGTTAGATGCTTTTAGGGCATTGGCTAATTCAGAACTGGCTGGTATTATAACAGAACTTAATTTTTGCAGGCATTTAAAGATTTTCATGCATTATGTGCCTGAAGTTTTTGTCTCTTAATTTTCTTTAAACCACACATCTTATCCTTATTATAAGAAAAACCTTCTTAGAGTAAGGGAAGCCCAAATTAACTGTCCTGAAATTTTGCATTATATTTAAACCGTATGATTTACTTCTGTCAAACTAAATACTACTATTTGGGTTCTCATTTGTAGATTATTTAAAAACAAATATTTTTTCCTGTTAATTATCAATGCATTTCCTATCACAAGGATTAAAAAGATCACTTCAGGTGGTGGGGATGTTTCATGAAACACCACGGTGGGGAGTAGATAGTGGGCAGGCAGAGTGACCAATCAGCTTAACCTCCTTTCACCTAGCTGTTCTTTAAAAAAACAAAAATCAAAGTCAAATTGCTTTCAGTTTTTCAGAGTGAAAATGGAGGCACAAGAAGGATATTCGGATGTGGAAGCAAATTGCTTCTTTTACATCCTCATAAAGTATTTTCTTTTCTCTTTTCTTTTTTTTTTTTTTTTTTTTGAGACGGAGTCTCGCTCTGTCACCCAGACTGGAGTGCAGTGGTGTGATCTCAGCTTACTGTACCCTCTGCCTCCTGGGTTCAAGGAATTCTCCTGCCTCAGCCTCCCGAGTAGCTGGGACCACAGGCGTGCGCCACTACGCCCGGCTAATTTTTGTATTTTTAGTAGAGACGGGGTTTCACCATGTTGGCCAGGGTGGTCTCGAACTCCTGACCTCAAGTGATCTGCCAGCCTTGGCCTCCCACAGTGCTGGGATTACAGGCATGAGCCACCATGCCCAGCCTCACAAAGTATTTTCTAAAATATAATTTGCTGTAGGGTTCACAGATGAGCACTGTTCACATTAGGTGATATGCAAACAAATCATTATTGGCTCAGCAGGAAACAGACTTTTTGTACACTCTAGTTAACATGAAGTTTTCCAATAAAACAAATGACAGTGGGAGGGGGTAGTGAGGAATCCAACCCTGTAATGTATACCTAGAATCCAAATAGGAAAAAATAAAGCTATTGAAATAAAGATAATTTAGTAATATCCTATAAGTCACCAGTGATTTCCATAAAATGCTGCACAGACACGAAGTCTTGAGTGTGTTACTTAGTTGTTGAAAAGAGAGCCTTGTGTGAGGCACAGCTGATTTGGAACATTAAAGAGCCTGGCTTCCCTTTCTGCTTTCCATTCTCCCAATAGAAACAAGGGTCTTCAATGAATTGGCCAGTCTTACAGGTCACCTCGGGGTGTAGATGACTCTCCACTATGGTGCTGGGCAATTTTATTGAACAGGTGGCCACTGGTGGTGATGGCTAAACCACTCATTAAACAAATTGCTCTAAATGGCCTCAGTATCAAGGTGTGCTCTCTGTACCCTTAATCTGACTTTAATTCTGCAGAACCTCAGTCTTACCATGTTTAACAGCATTGCCATGTAGGACATGCCTTTATCCTACACTGTATATATATTCTTTACGCAGAAGTATATCTAACTGAAAAGTATAAAAATATAATGGTGGAAAACAAATGAATTTAAAAATGTATGATGGCTGATAGCCCAGGTAACTGCAGGTGAAATGTAGCCAGAAGTCAGAATCTCGGGGCAAAATCAAGTACAGTCTTATGGGCTGTGCCTTCAAATGGTTTAGTTTTATACCCCCTTAAGGCAGAACAAAAGTTCTCTTCATGTTTTGGCAAGTGTTTTTCTTCCTGGAGATCATAAAAGCAGGTGGAAGAATCAGTCTAATGGTCTAATGGTTTGTTGGGCATGCTAAGGGAAGGATGTCAACTTGACCATCTTTGGATACTTGGTTAAAAACTAAGGCTAGTAGGTGAAGAAAAACAACAGAATAGTTTTTGGTTTTAAATTTGTACAAAGGCTACTTACTGAATACTGGAAAAAATGACAAAAAGTGTTTTACCATCTTTGCATAAGAAGAAAAGATTTTCCTTTTGAAACTAGCTTAGGATTTAATCTTGAGTCATGTCATCATGTGGTAAAAACAATCTGGATTTTACAATAATTTATAAAAAGCAAAAAAAGTCATAAAAATGCTAAATGATGCAGAGCTACAGATATGATGATACATGAGCAGAGGGGTCAAATCAGATTTTTACTGCAGGCAGGTGTTATGTTTGTGAAAAGTGATGCAATTTGTTATATATTCAAATGCAAATTAGAACTAGCTGCCTTACGATGAGATTTCACTGTCATTTCTTTCTTTTTTTTTTTTTTTTGAGACGGAGTCTCGCTCTGTCGCCCAGGCTGGAGTGCAGTGGCGCGATCTCGGCTCACTGCAAGCTCCGCCTCCCGGGTTCACGCCATTCTCCTGCCTCAGCCTCCCGAGTAGCTGGGACTACAGGCACCCACAACCGCGCCCGGCTAATTTTTTGTATTTTTAGTAGAGACGGGGTTTCACCGTGGTCTCGATCTCCTGACCTTGTGATCCGCCCGCCTCGGCCTCCCAAAGTGCTGGGATTACAGGCGTGAGCCACCGCGCCCGGCTACTGTCATTTCTTATCACCCTAATTTTTGTGGGTTCTGTAGGTTTCAAGTAACAGAAACTTACATCTATTTCCTTCAGACAATTAAGGAGCAGATATTTTAATATGCTTTATGTAAATAGGATTCTGATCATTTTAGCTTTAGTTAACACAACACACTTCCCTGGGCACAACCATGACCTCTCTTTGAGAACTAGAAAATACTGCATAATTTAAAAAATCGGAGTGTAATGACATTCCCTGACAACTTCAACTAAGTTATGTGAGGAGGATGAACTATGGGTAGTCTAGACCACCAGTCCTATTTGTCTAGCCATAGAAACGGTGACAACTTAAAGATCTGCAAAGATCAGAGCAGAGCTGGCTGAAGGCACAACATTCTATACATGTCCTCATGGAGCTTCAGAAAGGTTATAAGATGACCCACTCATTCTGGTTGGCTGTGGCCATAGGCAGACACCATAAATCCTGGGATGTGGTTAAGTATTGAACCGGGGGCAGGTCTGAGCTTGCTTATGATCCTCTGACTAGCCCTGGAACAGACAGTGAAGAACTACACAGAATCCCACAGCTAGCTCACTCTCTCTTCTCTCTCTCTCTTTTTTTCTTACCTTTGAGAACCATCCATGAGATTAATACAATATTAATCAAATATGACAAAGCTGAGTGCTGGCTCACAGCTAACTATCTGGATATGGGGTTTTGTTGGCCCTTAGCTGACTGTTTAAATTATTTAATCAAATATTAAGAAAAGTATAATTCACATGCAACCCTTGGCAAAAAGAAAAAAAAAGATTAATTTCTTATAACCAGCACAAACTGTTAACCTGTTAAAGAAAAGCCCAATTGTTTCTGCATTTGAAGCATACACACACATCATCTCTGTTTCTTTATAAACTGGAGCATGAAAGGAGGAGGGGACAAATGAGATAATGCCATGAGCTAAACACCCAGCAGGCCTCACTTCTTATTCTGTTTGTGGAGTGGGTGGCAGCATTAGTCAGAAAGTCACTCCTCTGCTATGATGGTCATGACATATTTGAACTTGTAGATCTTTAAGGATTTCCTTATTTATTCTGCCAGGTCTATGGTAGGTGCTTGTTTTCTTGGTGGAATGATTCATCAATGCTTCCTGAGAGGCTCAAACAGGATCACTGGCCAGATTCCAAAGATAAACTGTTTGGGGACAAATTAGGACAAAATGAGAAAAGACAAAATTGTTCCATGTTATTCCTTAAAAAACTATGAGAAAGAATCCATGGGGCTGTGACTATACATAGGTTTGCTAGTGATTGTCCTGGTATTAGTAGCCTAAGCACAGTTTCAGTTTATTCCTTCTAGTCTTGGACCAGATATCAGAGAGTATTTTTATTGAGTTTATTTAAATTTATTAAGCTTTGACTGTCAAACATGGAGCTGGGCATATAAATTATCTCTGATCTTTAAAACAACTCTGCAATGTAGTTATTAGCAGCTCAATTTTATTGTTGAAGAAACTAAGGCTTAAAGAGATTTGTCCGAGAACATGCAGTCGTAAATGAAAGATTCAGTGCCTTTGGTTCCAAAGCCTGTGTTTGTTCCACTACCTTTGCAAACTCCCCTTTCTTCTTCCACCTCCATCCTATACTCCCAGTACCAAACCCCCAACACACACACAGGACCTAAGAAGTGGACTTACCTTCACTTTTGGCCTATATCTCAGGTAAAGTGTTCTTGTATACAAACTGAAAGAAAAGTGGGAGGGGGAAAGCTTTTCAGATTCGTTTTTAAATTCATACAAACTGGTGTACTGACAAACTTAACCATAGTGCTTCTGCATGTACAAAGCAAGAAAAAAAAAAGACATGAGTATATGCTTCATTTGTTCAGCAACCAGTTTTTTTTGAGCACCTACTCAAAATAGTAAACCATGCTGTAAATGGATGTGCTGTAATCTAGGCTTTGATGTTCCATTTTATACAGCACAAGCAGAGTACATTTAGCATAATTCTTAAGGGCCATAGGACTTTCAAAATAGAAAGTGAGCACTGACTTCAACTTAAGGTCATCAGCTACATTAGCTCCAAACAAGAGAGTCACAACATGTCCTTTGAAGCTTTGAAGCCAGGCATTGATTTCTCCTCTCTAGTTATGAAAATCCTAGATAGTATCTTCTTCCAATAAAAGGCTGTTTCATCTACATTAAAAGTCTGTTGTTTAGTGTAACCACTTTCATCAATAATCTTAGCTAGATCTTCTGGATAACTTGCTGCAGCTTCACCTTGCACTTTTATGTTACGGAGATGGCTTCTTTCCTTAAGCCTCATGAACCAATCTCTGCTAGCTTCAAACTTTTCTTCTGCAGCTTCCTTACTTCTCTCAGCCTTCACAGAATTGAAGTGAGTTGGGGCCTTGATCTGGAGTAGGCCTTGGCTTAAGGCAGTGTTGTGGTTGGTCTGATCTTTTATCCAGACTACTAGAAATTTCTACACATCAGAAATAAGGCTGTGTCACTTTCTCATTATTCATGTGTTCTCTGGAGTAGCACTTTTAATTTCCTTCAAAAACTTTTCCTTTGCCTTCACAACTTGGGTAACTCTTTGGCACAAGATGCCTACCTTTTGGCCTATCTCAGCTTTCAACATACGTTCCTCACTAAGCTTAATCATTTCTAGCTTTTGATTTAAAGTGAGAGATGTGTAACTCTTCCTTTCACTTGAACACTTAGAGGCCACTGTAGGGTTATTAATCGGCCTATTTTAAACTTTGTTTTCTCTTAGGGAATAGGGAGACTGGAGAAGGAAAGAGACTGGGGAGTGGTCAATTGGTAGAGCAGTCGAAACATACAACATTTATTAAGTTCACTGTCTTATATGTGCATGGTTTGTGGTGCCTCAAAACAATTACAATAGTAACATCAAAGATCACTAATCACAGGCCAGGCACAGTGGCTCACACTTGTAATCCCAGCATTTTGGGAGGCCAAGGTGGGATTATCACTTGAGGTCAGGAGTTTGAGACCAGCCTGACCAACATGGTGAAAGCCTATCTCTACTAAAAGCGCAAAAATTAGCCAGGCGTGGTGGCGCATGCCTGTAATCCCAGCTACTTGGGAGGCTGAGGCAGGAGAATCACTTGAACCCAGGAGACAGAGGTTGCAGTGAGCCAACATCGTGCCACTGCACTCTAGCTTGGGGGAGACTCTGTCTCCAAAAAAAAAAAAAAAAAAAAAAGATCACTGATCACAGATCACCATAACAGATATAATAATAATAAAATTTGAAATATTGTCAGTATTACAGAAATAAGACAGAAACATGAAGTGAGCACATGCTGCTGGAAAAATGTCACCTATAAACTTGCTTAATGCAGGGCTGCCACAAACTTTCAACTTGTAAAAAATACAATACCTGAAAAGCACAACAACAAAAAAGTTATGCATGTTTTGTTTATTTTGAAATCAAGAAGTGTGATGTTTCAGGTCTGCTCTTTTTCAAGATTGATCTGGCTACCTGTGGCCTTTTGTGGTTCCATATGAATGTTAGAATTATTTTTTCTATTTCTGTAAAAAATGTCTTTGGAATTCTAAATGAGATTGCATTGGATCTGTAGATGGCTTTGGGTAGTATGAACATTTTAACAACTTTGTCTTTTAATCCATGAACACAGGATGTCTTTTCATTTGTTTGTGTCTTGCTTGCTTACTTTTATGAATGTTTTGACCTAGTTAGAGGTCTGTTCTATTTCTTCACAACTCAGTCTTGGTAGGTTCTACGTTTCTAGGATATTGTCCATTTCTTCTAAGTCATCCAATTTGTTGGCATATAATTGTATGATTCTTCTTATCTCTGTGGCAGCACTGTAATGTCTCTTTTATTTCTGATTTTATTTATTTGAGTCTTCTGTCTCTTTTTTTTTTGTTAGTCTAGCTGAGATTTGTCAATTCTGGTGATCTTTCAGTACCCCAACTCTTAGTTTCATAGATTTTTTAAAATTTTTCTATTTTGTTTATTTCTGCTCCATGTTATTTCTTTCCTTCTGCCAAATTTGGGCTTAATTTGTTCTTCTTTTCCTAGTTCTTTGAGGTGTAAAGTTTCATTGAGATCTCTCTTCCTTTTAAATGTGGCATTAATTTCTATAAACTTCTCTTAGTACTGCTTTCGCTGCATCCCATAAGTTTTGGTATGTTGTATTTTTGTTTTCATTTGTCTCAAGGTATTTTCTAATTTTTTCATTTCTTCTTTGACCCAATGTTTGTCCAAGAGTATACTATTTAATTTTCATGTTTGTGAATTTTCTAGTGTTTAAAAAGTATTTACATCATCCTATTTTAAACAATAAAGAAAAAAAACCAAACTCTAGTACAAGGCTAAAAAAGTCTCTATTTCCTACCTGAAAAGGATGTGAAGATAGGAACCAAGGCCAGTTAAAATATGCCACCATGCATGAAATTGTGTGGTAATACCTATGATAGGTGGTACCTTCTTTCGAAAGTTCCTGTGTGAAGAGAGGGAGAAAATCACCATGTTAAATTTTTAAAATATTTAGCAACTAACGCTGATAGTCTTAGAGCATTTTGAAATATCATTCTCAAAACAGCAGTTATTTAATTGCCTTAAGCTTCCTGTAGTCTGCCACATTGTTATCCAAAGTACATTCTGAGGAACAGTATTCAACAATGATAATTTATGGTCAATTCGTGTCATCTAAACCCTTAGACACTTTTCTCTCTTATATCTTTTTGAAGCAAATCCCAGATACTATATCATTTTATTTCTAAATATTTTAGTATGTATTTCTCAAATATGAAAACCTCCCTAAAACACAACCACATTTTCACACCTAAAAATAATAATACTCCCTTAATATCATAAAAGTTTCAGTTACTGATCATCGAAGTTCCAAATTTCTTATACTTTATTTTTTTAAATAGTTAGTTTGTTTGAATCAGAATCCAAAAAAGGCCAACACATTGTATCTGGTTGATATATCTAAGTCTCTTAATCTATATGTTCCTCCTCTCTCTTTTTTCCTGCCTTTGCAATTTTTTTTTTTTTTTTTGAGATGGAGTCTCGCTCTGTCGCCCAAGCTGGAGTCTCCTGCCTCAGCCTCCCAAGTAGCTGGGATTACAGGCACACGTCACCAAGCCCAGCTAATTTTTATATTTTTAGTAGAGACAGGGTTTCACCATGTTGGCCAGGCTGGTCTTGAACTCCTGACGTCAAGTGATCCACCCCCTCAGCCCCCCAAAGTGCTGAGATTACAGGCATGAGCCACCGTGCCTGGCTGTGCCTCTGCAATTTATCTGTTGAAGAGACCAGGTCATTCATTCTGTAGATTTCTCACAGTCTGAATTTTGTTGATTGCCTTCCTGTAGTACTGTTTAGTACCTTCCTCTGTTCTGTTTATGCAAAATTGTTAGTTCACAGGATTTGGAGTTGGAATGACCCACCTGTTTAACCTATTCAGCATGCTCATTTCATGGAAAAGAGGCCAGAAAGACAGAGTCTTAATGAGAGACTAGAATCCAGAGACACCTAAGTCTAAGATTCAAACTCCTGGCAATATATGATTGCTGAAAAGATGGTAAAAAAACACTTGCTTTTTTAGAAAATAACATTAAGCATATGAAAGTGTATATTTATATACATATTTTTCATATGCTTGTTACAAATCAGTCTTCTTTATTCACTGAAGCAGATCAGGCAGGTTTCAAAGGAATAGTCAACATTTGATTAACTATATAGTTCTGTGATGCCCACACACACAAAACCTAAACCCTACAGAGGTTATGAAAAAGTCTCAGGTCCAAAATTTTAGGTAATTTAAACAGGCATTCCAATAAGCTAACTTTATTATACTGTACATATCTTTTAAATGTCAACAATAGTAAAAATTCATTTCAGAGCACTATTATTTCTATATGTTTATAAAATTCTCTACTTAATAAAATCTTTCCAAAAATATTTCTGAAGAAATGAAAATATATCTTACCTCAGTGAATCACAAAATATGTTATCTATATTCCAAAATAAAAATCCCAATAAAAATATACCCAATGATGTATAACCCAGTCCTCTAAGCCATGGATAAACCCTGTGGGGGGAAAAAAGAAAAGCAAAATAAAATTTTCTCAAGTCATGTCATGATCAGAAATTGAAGCCATCACTTTCTTCCTTTTTTATAAGGGCTGGGATCTCACTATGTTGCCCAGGCTGGAGTGCAGTGGCTATTCACAGGTGTGATCATTGTACATTCCAGCCTCAAATTCCTGCGCTCAAGGGGATCCTCCCATCTCAGTCTCCCAAACAGCTGGGAATATAGACATGTGCTACCTTGCCTGGCAAGAAGACATCAGTTTCATTAGAAGGAAAAGTTTTTGTTGATAGTAAAAGCAGACCTATCAAATTTTCTAATAATTTGCCTACTATATGTAGCCATTAAAAGGTGCCGAGAAATAAGCCATGAAGACTTTAATAAATGTATTGGGAAGGTAATCTGAAAGTACCTGATAACTTTTTTGGTCCCATGGAAGAGGCAGGGGGATAGTGGATTAGCTATCAATGTAGGTTGAGTCATATACTCCATGTAAGGCAATGTAGTTACACACACACACACACACACACACACACACACACATATTCACTCATTAAATCACTTAATAATATATATGGAGTGCTGTGTACCAGACATTGTTCTAAGCATTTGGGAAGGTAATGATCAATAGGTAAAGTTTTTGTTCTCAAAGAATTTACAGTATAGCTGGGGGAGGTAAACAATCAAATACATAATTATAATTGCTTTGAAGAAAAATAAGGCCTGATAAGGAGAGAGTGATATGGGGGTATTGTGGACGGGTGTGCATGCACACACATACCATACACAAAATGTTCAAATAATCCCTGTGAGGCAGGTATTATTTTTACTTCACTGATGAGGAAATTGAAGCTTGGTGAGGTACTGAAAATAGTATCAGCTTACCTATGTTTTATAGCTTCAGTGAGGTATAACTGACTTACATTAAAACTATTAAATATATTTAAAGTGTCTCTCTGATCAGTACATCTGTATATACCCATGAAACCACCAACACAATCAAGATATCCACCACCTCCAAAAGTTCAATTTGCATTTTTTTTTTTTTTTTGAGACGGAGTCTTGCTCTGTTGCCAGGGCTGGAGTGCAGTGGCCGGGTCTCAGCTCATTCTCCCGCCTCAGCCTCCCAAGTAGCTGGGACTACGGGCGCCCGCCACTTCGCCTGGCTAGTTTTTTGTATTTTTTTAGTAGAGACGGGGTTTCACCGTGTTAGCCAGGATGGTCTCGATTTCCTGACCTCGTGATCCGCCCGTCTCGGCCTCCCAATGCGATTTTTAGAATGCTATATAAATGGAATCATACCATATATACCCCTGATTGTATAGCTTCTTTCATCTGACATAATTCTTTGAGATTCATCTATGTTATTATGTTATCAATACTTCATTTCCTTTTACTTCTGAGTAGGTACTCCATTGTATGGTCACAGCACAATTTGTTTCTCTGTCCAAATGCGGGTTTCCAGTTTTTGACTATTACAAATAAAGCAGCTATGAACATTCACAAATAACACTTTATATAGACATATGTTTTCATTTTTCTTGGGTAAATAGCTAGGAGAAGAATGGCTGGATTGTATGGCAGGTGAATATTTAAATTTTCAAGATAACTGCTACACTGTTTTCCTAAGTGGCTGTACCATTTTACATTCCCACCAGGCATGTATAAGTGTTCCAAATGTTCCACATCTTCATGAGGACTTGGTTTGAAGTCAGTCTTTTTCACTTTAGCTGTTTTAGTAGGTGTGTAGTGGTATCTCATTGTGGTTTTAATTTGCATTTCCCTAATGACTAATGTTTTTGAACATCTTTCATGTAGTTATTTACTATCCATACATCTTCTTTGATACATTGTTGTTTGCCTTCTTATTATTCAGTTGTAAGAATTCTTTCTTTATTTTACATGTAGGTCCTTTGTTGGATGTATATTTTGCAAGTAGTTTCTCCAAGTCTGTGGCTTGCCTTTTATTTTCTGAATACTATATTCTGAAGAACAAAAGTTTGAAATTTTGATGAAGTTCAGTTTGTCAATTTTTTGTCTATAGTTTGTGCTTTTTATTAATAAATCTTTGCCAAACCAAAAATACCTCCTATATTTTCTTTTAGAAATTCTATAATCTTAAGTTTTTACATTTAGAGATATAATGTACATTTAATAGAATTCACTTGTATTAAATTTTTATATTGGTGTGAGGTTGAAGTTCATTTTCTTTGTCCTAAGTATATTCATTTGTCCCAGCAAAATTTGTTGAAAAGATTATCTTTTCTCCACTGAATTACCTTGACATATTTTTGAAAATCAGGTCAGTATGGGTGTGTGGGTCTATTTTTGGATGTTCTATTGATTTATATTTCATTATTACCACCAATACAACATTGTCTTAGTAGCAGCACAGAGTAAGTCAAGTCATGCAAGTCCTCTAACTTTGTTCCTTTTCAAAAACTGTTTTGGCTATTCACAGTCTTTTGCATACCCATGTTAATGTCAGAATCAGTTTCTCCATTTTTACCAAAAAGCCTGCAGAACCTACAAATCAGGATTGGAGAACTGGCATCTTAACAATATTAATTTTTCTGATCCATTAAATGGTATATCTGACTATTTGTCTAGCTCTTCAATTTCTCTCAACAAAAAAAACTGTACTGTGTAGTTTTCAATGTACAGCTCTTGCATATTTTGTTAAATTTAATCCTTAAACATTTAATGTATTTTGATGTTATTGTAAATTATACTTTACAAAATTTTGTTAATAGTTCACTGCTAGAACAGAGAAATATGATTTTGAATCACTGACTAGAATCTTGTGCCTCTGCTAAATTTCACTTATTGCTTCTAACAGCCTTTTTTTTTTTTTGAGATGGAGTCTTGCTCTGTCACCAGGCTGGAGTGCAGTGGCTCAATCTTGGCTCACTACAACCTCCACCTCCCAGGTTCAGGCGATTCTCCTGCCTCAGCCTCCCAAGTAGCTGGGACTACAGGCGTGTGCCACCACGCCCAGCTAATTTTTATAGTTTATTAGTAGAGACGGGGTTTCACCATGTTGGCCAGGATGGTCTCGATCTCTTGACCTCGTGATCCGCCCACCTCAGCCTCCTAAAGTGCTGGGATTACAGGCGTGAGCCACTGCGCCTGGCCCTCTAACAGCTTTTTTTGTACATGTCCTGTGATATTTTCTATACATGATCATGTCATTTGCAAGTAAAATGTTGGGTAGGATTTCCACCAGTATAATGTTGAATAGAAGTAATTATAATATATATCCTAGTTTTATTCTTGATTTTTAAAGGGATTAAAAAAATACATGTCATGACTAGGTGTTTTATATGCTATAGAATTATAGGTTAAGAAAGTTCCTTTCTATTACTAGTTTGTAAAGGGTTTTGTTTTGTTTTTGAACATAAATAGGTGTTGAATTTTACAGAATGCTTTAGTCTAAATCTTGGTATGTAATTTTCCTTTTAATTTTTAATTTTAATTTTCTAAAGACTGGTCTGCCTTTGTCCTTTATTTTTTAAATATGGTGAATGGCAATAATACATTTTTCAATTTTGTTTTACTTAACTGTGTATTGGCATATAAGTGAATGTAAAAGGTAATTAGTTTAAAAACGATCAGGAAAGCACAAACCTGGCAATGTATGGAAAAGGCATTATTACCACTGTTTGATGAAGGTTCTCAAGAGAAGATAAGCTTAAAAGAGTCACAGTCTGGCTTCAGTTTTTCAGAGTTTATCATAGCCCCCATTTGGGGAGGGCAATAATGAGTCCTAAGAAACATAAGCCTCAACACAGTGAAGGCTTCTGGCAGTGTGGGCCAGGTACTGAAATATGACAGGAATATGATCAGTGGGGGTAGGGTGCTATCTGTTTTCTGCTTCTAAACTTACTTACCATGGCCAATCTTCAGCTCTCAGGGGCAATTCAAACCAAAACTCTTCTGTGGGGTAAAATGAATGTCTTTGGTTATCCAGGTACCAGGGCGGGAAGGGGAGAGCAAGAACATCAGTACATGGTCCATGAAAGGCTAAGGGGACTTACTACCCATATAGTATCAGGTGCAAGAGTGTAGAATACAGAAGGCACTCAATATATGTGTCTCTCTATCTTTCTCTATCACACTGCTTTATTCTGGACTGCCTGCCTGTCTAGCATACAGCTGTCATCTGAGAAATCCCTTTCCATCACCTGCACCTTAGGAACTGCCTTCACCTCTCTCTTTCCTTGGATCTCCTGTCTTGTATCCCATGCACTCCTCCTTTTTGTAGTACTCTCATTTTGGTGAAGCACATCTTTCAGTAGGTTCTTGAGCAGTATTTAATGATGTAAGTTTTTTTGAGATCTTGGAATGTATGAAAATATATTTTTCTCTGTATTTTACTGATAGTTTGGCTGCCTGTAGAATTCTAGCTTAGAAATAATTTTCCTTTAGAAATTTGAAGGCATTGGTCTCCTAGTTCCAATGTTGCTTTGGCAAGCCCAAAGCCATTTTGATTCCTGATCCTTTGTATATATTCCTGCCTCTCAACTTATATACCTTCTGGAATCCTTCCTTGTTCTGGAACTCTGAAACTGCCATAGGTCTATTTCTATCCATTGTGCTGGGTATCCAGTGAGCTCTTTCAGTCTAATAACTCATGCCTATCAATTATATAATGTTTTCTTGAATTATTTTGGTAATTGCTTCTCTTCCATTTTCTCTGTTCTCTGCCTCTGTCTCCTTTTTGATGTTGGTTCTTCTATTCTGGCTCAACATTATTCAGTAATATTTCTATTGAATCTATTCTATCTGCCATTTCTTTCTCTTTTTTTTTGTCCTATACTCAGAGTGTCTTCTTTAACTGTATCTTTTAAACACTTCAGCTTTTTATTATATATATATATTTTTAAAATTAGACAGAAAGTCTTGCTTTGTTGCCCAGGCTAGAGTGCAGTAGTGCGATCATAGCTCACTGTAACATCAAACTCCAGGGCTCAAGTAATCCTCCCACCTCAGCCTCTCGA